GGGGAGTCTTAAAGAATAAATAGAAGCTTTGTAGACAAAAAGGAGAGGAAAAAAATTATTCCACGTAGCGAAAAGGGCATGTCTAAAGGTTCAGAGGTATGAGGAGGCCCAAGGTGCATGATGACTAGTTTGGTTTGGTTAAAATAGATTGGATAAGGGCTGGAAGGTGAGGCTGAAGAGATTGGCTGAAGTCAGGATGGCAAAGAGCTGCTTAAGCCATACTGTGGAAGGGCAGATTTTATCTTATAGGCAACAGCACATCCATGAAGGTCCTTACACTAAATATGTCACAGTAAATAATGTCTCTAGAATCAGACTATGCAAGTCCAAAAGCTGGTTTTACCATGTCCTGGCCATGTGACCTAGGGCCAATTACTTCTGAGCTTCATTTTCTTCATTTATTAAATGGTATAAGAAAAGAAATAACTGTATAACATATTGCAGGAATAAAAGAGATAATCCATATAAAGAGCTTAATATAATGTTTGAGACACAGTAAACACTTAATACTTGTTAGGTGTTATTTTGTGTTCACTTGTTGCTATGATTTTTTTGTGGGGGTGGGGAAGATGGTCCTATTGCTTTGTATAGATAGATAGATATAGTTTTATATAAATAAATAAAAGTCCATGAAATCACAGAGTTAAGAACCATCGAAGAAGTTGGATCCCAATGGAAGGGTTGAAGCAGAGCTATAGCATGACCAATGAGCTTTAAATAGATTGAATTGGGAGGGTTTGCAGGATGTGGAAGGTTAACATGCATTTATAATGGGCTCAAGCATAGCACCAATTGTAAGGGTGGTGCGGGACTGGACAGTGTTTTGTTCCGTTGTACTTAATAAGATCACTACGATTGGAACTAACTCAACAGCCCTTAACAACAAACATTCATTAGATGAGAGGAAATTTGCATGTGGCCCCCAGGATAGAAGTCAAGGCTAGAGATCCAATGGGAAGCTATTGGTATGGAGGGAGGCTGAATCCTGAAAGATGCACAATTTCAGGAGTGGGATGAAGAGGTCAAAGAAGACTGAGAAGAATCATTGAAAAAGATAGGAGCAGAATCAGAGAGATTAGAATGCCAGGAACCGAGGTACTTCAAAGAAGGAAAGGATGATTATCAGCATTATAAGCTTAAAAGAAATGAGGTTAAATGAAATAGGCTTTCAACTTCTGAACAATTTCAGCTCCTAACTAGATCTATAACCTTGGGTCCTCTTCTTAACTACTTGAGATTCATCTATAAAAGGTGGTAACTTAGCTAAAAGATTTCTAACAGTCCTTTGAGAACCCAATTATTTATGGATAAATTTCAAAAATCAATTTAACTTATTTTGTTAAAATGCAGGATTGTGAAGCATTCAATTCATTCCAGTTAGCTTAATTCTTTCTTTATTAAGTTTAACATTTTTATGGGAAAGGGGTTCAGGAGGATCAACAGTGAGTGAATGGACCTCCTTGTTCTGGTTATCTAGTGCTGCTCTGATAGAAATATACCAAAAATGGGATGGCTTTAACGAACAGGAGTTCATTCTTACAATTTGGAGGCTTTAAGTCTGAGTTCAAAGTGCCAGGCACTAGGGGCAATTTCAGCCTTGGGCTTCAGCTCTGCCTCCTGTTCCTGGCCCACTGAAGCTAGAGGTGTTTTCTTCACTCAGACAGCTGCTGGCTGCTGAGTCTAACAAACCCAAAGCTGACAAGTAAAAAGGCGCAGTCCCAATGTTACCAAACCACATGTTAGGCCATTCATTCAAGTCTGTTTAAAGTCCCAAGGTTGGCACAGCATGGCAGGCTGCTGAACAATGACACGGGTACCTGCAGGGTTCAAGCATGCCATAAGCTAGAGACCATTCCCAAAGCTGTTTCTTATATACAGGAAGCAGACCACATCCCTAAAGCAGCTACTCACCTGCTCCAATAGATTCCACCATGGTGTTAATTACTAGTCTCACCATAGGAAATAACTACATCCAGCTGCTCAGCCACTCAACCAGGCCCAGCCAAGTTGACACACAAATTCAACTACCACACTCCTACACTGCCCATCCTTAATAACATGGGGAAATGTGGTCTTGCAATTCTTAGAAAGTCCCCAGACATTCAGACAAGTGGTTGAAAATGACTTTGGATTTGGACAAACATTGGTCCAAAATCTGATTACACCACTATTAGTTATTAGTTTTATGATCTTGACAAATGACTTTGCTTAAAAAAGCTAAAGCTGAAAGTTAAAGTTGTAACTTCCCCATATGAGAAATGGAGAGTTATTACTAAGACTAAGTGCAGTAATATAAACAAGGCACTTAGCCAACTCTCAATAGATAGCAAGTAGATAATAAATATGATCTATTTTCCATAGTGGGGAGCTCTGGTAGCATAGTGCCTAAGGCATTTGACTGCTAACCAGAAGGCTGGAGGTTCAAACCCACCAGCCACTCCTTGGAAGGAAGGTTGGGCAATGTACTTCCATAGAGATACTGCCTCGGAAACCCAAGGAAGGGTTGCTATGAGTCGGATCCAACTCAACGGTAGTGAGTTTGTTTTTTGTGGCTTATTATTTACCATCTAATGAAGGATTCTTGCCCACACCTGGTTTGATTCTGTCCATTTGACCAGGCTGGGACAAAGGTGGGACAGTGGTGAGAGATTACCACATTCCAGGATTCCTGCTCAGCACAAGCCAAGGCCCAGATGGGCCCTGAGGTTTTTAACCAAAGTCAGTAAAGTTCTGGATCCATCCACCTGCAGAAATCATTGAGGGAAGGAACTTTTCTCATTTTCTAATTTTCTCTGGAGTTATTTCTATTTTGAAGGTAACTATGTATTCAGTGAGGAATGCTGGTGGTGCAAGTTAAGCACTGGGCTTCTAACCAAAAGGTCAATGGTTCAAATCCACCAGCTACTCCAAGGGAGGAAGATGTGGCAGTCTGTTTCCGTAAAGATTACAGCCTTGAATAACCCAGAGCAAGTCTACTCCTGCTCTGTCCTATAGGATCACTATCAGTCAGAATAACTCAACAGCACCACCAACATGTATTCAGTATACAAAGTCCCATCATCATCTTTATCAGCCTAATATCATCCTCATCAACTTTCAAGATCTCAATTTCCTCTTGTGCATGTCTGTTCTGATGCCTTTCACACAGGAATAGAGACCTGATTTGTATCAGAATAGATCTGTGCCCCATAAGGTTTCAATCGCTTATTTTTGAGAAGTAAATTGCCCGGACTTTCTTCCAAGGCACCTCTGAGTGCCCTTGAATGTCCAACTTTTCTGCAGGTTAGCAGTCTAGCACTTTAACTGTTTGCATTACCCATGGATCAACTCAAGGATAATTGTGGGTTTTTTTTGTTTTTGTTCTTTTTTTAACTCAGGAATGGTGCCCAGTCCCCAAACACTAAGCTCCCCATGGAAGTATTTCTCTAGTTTCTACTGTGTGAAACAGCAAAACAGCCCTCCTCCCAATCAACATGTTTGCTATTTGCATTTTCTTTTGGCTGAAGCAGGGGAGGGGAGGAGCCTAGAATCTAATAGGAAAAAGCAAACCCATCCTAAAATTGTTCTTCACAACTGGGTCAACCAGAGAAAAGAAGAAAGGTGAGGCCTGGCTCTCCTAAAACTTCAAAGGATTCATTCGTTCAGTAAAGCAGCCAGCTCCCTCTTTAATGTAAATGATTCTTTTTTCCTTCTTCCCTGTTTAATGTAGGGAAAATCAGTGGCTGTTTTATTATACAGAGGCCTTTTCATAATTACATCAAAAACCAGTGAGTAATTAGACAACAAATCTTGGCAAAGAGCTGGGCCCTAGTGCAGTGGGTTTTGTTTAAAGGCAATTTTTTAAAAAAAAAAACAAATGTTATTAAAAGAGTGGTTTGAATCCTTAGATGCAACACATGCACACACACACACACATGCACCACAAAACACACACACACACACAGAGGCAGGACTCTCCATGAAGGTCTCTTCCAACCTGGATCAAGGGAGAGGTTGGCTGGGGGTTTGGTCAGTGGCATCACTAGGGTTGATGTCATCCTCCACACACTCCATGGACCATCTCCTGTACCAAACTGTACAGAATCCTTACTAAGGTTTATCATCAATTTTAATTGTAGAGTAATATGGGCTAAATATGGTTGTAAAGTGCTTAGATGTAATATTGCTTAGATTATATGAATATTAACAAATTGTGTAAAATATTTCTGGATTGAATTACACAACATTGTTACAACACTATTAGCAAATGAGTGGAAGCCCCTCCCTTTTATTTTTAATTTTCTCCTTCTTTTCCTTTAATTACTACTTCATTCTCAAAAAGTTTATTGGTAAACAAATGCTAATTACCATACTACTGCAGCTAAAACACCAGAACGTTTTGACAAAATCAGTGACTCTTAAAATACTGGCAGGAATGAGAACAGTGAGTGGTGGAGCTCCTGCAGAGGAAGTCAGGGGATTCGAAGCATGACTATAAGGTGGGAATGATGACAGGTCTGAGCGAATGCAGGAGAAGTTTCAAAATGTTAACCACCATAGAGTTTTACCTTTGTAGGTATATTGATGGGAGCTCTGGTAGCATGGTGGCTAAGGCACTTGACTGCTAACCAGAAGGCTGGCGGTTCAAACCCACCAGCCACTCCCCGGAAGGAAGATGGGGCAATCTACTTCCGTAGTGATACTGCCTTGGAAACCCAAGGAGGGGTAGCTATGGGTCAGGGCCGACTCGATGGCACATAACAACAACAACAACAGGTATATTGATACATATGAGCAGGGCTTACAAAAATGTTTCTGTTGTCATAACTAACTACAGGGCTAGTTACAGAAAAAAATATATATTTATGCTGGAACACTGCACAAGAATTTTACAGACAGCCATTTGGGGGTCACCCTGTCTGACAGTGTCACCCAGTGTGGTCCTCACCTCCCAGCACCCTCTGAGTAATGTCACTGGATGTGGTCTTCTCTCTTCCCCACCACAAGCCAGTCAAACTTACTGTCGGTAGTTGTAGGCAATGTCAGCAAATTGCTTCCTTCTTGCTCTGTACGCAGGATCTTTGAAACCCTAGGAAAAAAGAGACACTTGATTCCTGGAGGCTTTTGGAGGAGAGGCCGCACATGTCTGTGAATGCCTGGAATCGAGGTCTGTGAAACCTAACATTGCATCTCCTTCCCCTGATCTTTACACCCTGAAGCACCTTTAAAAATCAGTTGTCATTTAGTCAGTTCTGACTCATGGTGACCGCATGTGTGTTAGTGTAGAACTGGGCTCCATCCGGTTTTCAGTGGCTGATAGTTTGGAAGCAAGTCATCAGTGTTTCCTCTAAGTTGCCTCTGGGTGGAATTGAACTTCTAACCTTTCACTTAGCAGCCAAGCACATTAACTGTTTGCACCACCCAGGAACTCCTAGCACCTTTAGACCCTGAATGGAAAGTGTCAGCCAAACCATGGTAAGGTCTCCCACCAGATATTAAGAGTGATACATTATTAGCAACACCTTTGATTTAGGGTGGACCTCTCTGGCATAGGAGCTGTGCTGGAGTAGTGCCTAAGGCATTTGACTGCTAACCAGAAGGCTAGTGTTTCAAACCCACCAGCCACTCCTTGGAAGGAAGATCAGGCAATCTACTTCCATAGAGATGCTGCCTCGGAAACCCAAGGAGAGGTTGCTATGAGTCAGGTCCTACTCAATGACACATAACAACAAGAACAACAACAACTTCTATATTGATACCACCTTGGACACCCAAGGAGGGGTCTCTATGAGCTGGATCCAAGATGACGTCAGTAGTTTCGTTTGGTTTTTTGGTTTTCTCTAGCATAGGACTCCAAAGTACCCTGGTTCTAAAGAAATCTCTACAGCATTTCTAACTTACAAACTTGTTAAGTCAGGCTAAGCTGATAGGATAGTTGTCTATGATGAAGATATACAATACCCATTAAATTCCTGACCAACACTGTGTGCCGAGCACTGATTCCTAACTTAAGTTCAATTCCCTCTCCCTTTAGTGTGTGTATGTGTGTGTAGACAGACAACCAGATAAATGCTTACAGCTATGGTAATTTAAAAAAAAAAAAAATACCATGTATGGAGTGCTTACTCTCTGCTACCTGTGATGGGAACTTATTTATAATTCACAGAACAGACTTATAAGGTAGATGAATAGGATTGTTTCGTTTTGTCCCCAGAGAACCAGCAGTGGCCTGGAGGACTGGAAGCACAGCTAAGATGGGGCCAGGATCTGAACTGCCTGCTCCCTTTTCCCAACACCGCAATAATTTTCAGCCTTTACATCTTCACAGGGACTCAGCTCACCGAGAAGCCTGGCTGGTATATAGAAACATGGTGGCTGTTTCTCTCTGAGGTTGACCTACAGGCAGAAAACAGGTCAAGTGTCTTTCAGTGTTGGGAAAGCACATACCTAAGTCAGAGATGAACCTAAATGATAAAAAGGACATTTCCCTAAAAAGTTCCCTGTAATTCTAATTTTGCTGAGACAAGAGAATGGTGTGATCACTACAGAACTCTGTTTTGTTCCCTACAAATGTCCCAATAAGCCAGGACATTGATCACATGAGCTGGCAATTTCCTGTCCCACCAATCTTCCAATTCAAGAAGTTAATGGATAGAGAGTAGGGCTTGAATTGTGGAGTTCAATATTTAAAACAGTCTTTAAAAAGGTGGATACTCCCTGGTTTTTGCATATTGCTTTTTGCTTGTGAATTTGATTGGTTGGTTCTTGTTTTGGATTTTTTTCTTTTAGTTTTTGTTTGTTTGTAAAGCCTATCAGTAATTCCAAAGAACCAAGGGGTCAATCTATATAATGTAATTTTACCTAAGAAACCGTAGCCCGGAGTCTGACATAGAAATAGGATCACACACAACCTGCTGAAAGAAGACAGGAAGGGAGGGAGGGGGAAGGGTAGGATTAGAGGAAGAGAGGGAGGAAGAAAAGTGGTTTCCTAAGCTGGATTTTGAGAAATCAAACGTTGCAAACCAGAAACATAAAGGTACCATATATTTGTCATTTTGAACATACACTCCAGATAAATTAAGTGAAACCCAAGGAGGGGTTGCTGTGAGTCGAATCAACTTGAAAGCAGTGAGTCTGGCTTTTTGGTTTATATTAGGGCTAAATAAATGTACTGTTTGGCAGGAGTTAAGGTTTGAGTGTTGCAGTTACCCTTACCTATCAGGTTTTTTAAAAAAGGATCATTGATAGCACAACAATTAAGCATTTGGCTGCTAATTGAAAAGCTGGCAGTTGGTGATCTGACCCCATAAAGACAACAGCCTAGAAAGCCCTATGTTGTCTTTGTTGTTATGTGCCGTCTAGTCGGACCCGACTCATAGCGACCCCTCCTTGGGTTTCCGAGGCAGTATCACTATGGAAGTAGATTGCCCCATCTTCCTTCCGAGGAGTGGCTAGTGGGTTTGAACCACCAGCCTTCTGATTAGCAGTCAAGTGCCTTAGGCACTACGCTACCAGAGCTCCTATAAGGCAGTTCTACTTTGTCGCATGGAGTGGCTCGGTTGGAACTGACTCAACGGGACCAACCATGATAGTGCCCGTCTTTCTGTAGCCCTCAGGTATAAACTGCAGACTTTTGCACAAGTGAAGCACCCTGGAGAACACCTATCCTGTGTTTTCATCTAGAAATGAGGGAAGTGAAGCTCATAGGGTCATTTGTCCAGGGCCCTTAACTGCAAACCAGCACTTCCATCCAGGTTTTCTGGTTCTGTTCAAGATGACAAGTTCAGATTTGAGGGCTGAGACAGGAAACCAGGGAAGACAAGAAAATAATTCCGCTTAATCAGTGGATTTCCACTTCTTCATCCTGCTTCTAGGAGTGGGATATCCACAACAATTTCTCTTCTTCATTGAACTTCTCATTTTTTATTCTTAATGTGCCTTGTCTAGGTGGCTTAAAAAATTTTCAATTGGCCAAGAAAACTTTAATACAAAACTGTGTATCCATTAAATAAACAAACAAACAGAAAAACCCAAACTCACTGCCATCGAGTAGATTCTGACTCATAGCAACCCCCATTGAGTTTCCAAGGCTGTAAATCTTTATGGAAGCAGACGACCTCATCTTTCTTCCATGGAACAGCTGGTGGGTTAGAACCATCGACCTTTTGGTTAGC